CATTATGGTAAATGTGAAAATGGCGAATGATATACTAGTAATGTTAGGCTTACGTTATCCTTGGAAACGTTAATATCCTTGTCCAGGTAGGAGCTGTAATCAAAAGCAAAACATATCCTTTAATCTAATTGAAACTCTAGCACGATATCAAGGCTCTTCAGAATTAGATCTTCAAATTTGCATAACAYCTCAAAAGCCAGTTGATTTAGTGCTGTAGATTCAATATGGAGAAGTAAAATGACTAGCATCTACAAAAATTCTATTATTACTAAAAGGTAGAAACGTCGTATTGTACATTATTTTATTCCTACCAATGAGAGTATTTGGTGATAAACGTTTTTGTACTATACTTGAAGTACCATTCAATTAAGTCTGAAATGTGGCGTATTATAGTTTTAGGTCACGTGGCATTAAAATTCACTGCAATCGTTAAATGATCACCACACAGCAAAAAAGGTTTCTCTTCGCTGCCTTGCAACTAAAGACGAAAACCCCCCCCGGAGGGGGGGGGGGCACTCCCCTTTATTCGCTATACAGGTACGTGCCGCCAAACAGGGTATGGTTTTCAGCGATTCTACTCTGGAACAGGGTATATAAAATCGCGCTCGCTCTGGATCAGGGTATATGAAATCACGCTCTCTCCTCTCTGGAACAGGGTATCTATTTTCGCAATACCGGAACAGAGTATGGTTATCAGCGATCATGCTCTTGAACAGGGTACGAATTTCCGCGATTTTACTCTGGAACAGGGTCAGGGTTGGGCTCAGCGGCACGTCCCTACCCTAAACGGGCAAGAGTACCCCTCCGGGCGAAAACCGTTATTGTTACAACTRCGTCACTTACTGGAAAGGGTGCTTAAACTCTGTCTTCCAAAATGCTGACCGTGCAGTAAAGAGTAGCCTGAGTACCAGCATGGGAACAAGGATGACCATTGATGAAGTCGATAACACAGTAAGGAGACTGAACTGAGTCAAACATACCAGGAAGATAAAACCACTAACGAAAACTATGGTCGTGACTTTGATGTCACGCCACAGAATTATGTCACGGAAGCTTGTCATAGTGCAGTTATCTGGGAAAAAAGACATGTGACACGGTCATAATAGAAATACGATATAGTGCACGCACAAATACTAACTTTTAGTACTAAATAGTGATAAATAAACGATAGAAAACAAAGGATTCTGTATGAAATAGTACTAATTAGTACTATTTAATGTTCACGGATTTAGTGCGTGCACTCTATGAAGAAGCGTTCAAACATCGATGTCATTTATTAACTAGTATTTCATGAATTTCATTTTCACTTTTCCAAAGTGTTCGAGATCAAATATTTAAATGAAAACTCACTAAATCAATACCCAAGTCACGTCGTCTCATTCACCTCAGTATATAAAGAAGTATATATTTGTCGTGGTTCAAAGGCCAAATAAAGGATAGATGTTGTCATTGTATTTTATAGAAGTTTGGTGGCATTTAAAATAATGAATAACTCAAATATTGGAATAAAAATACCATTTATAATAAAATGCATTATAAAAAGCATAAGAAAAGCTTTTATTTAAATACTGTTCTGTTGATCTCATCGCCTGATACACACCTATAAAACCTAAATAGAACGTGACAAAAAAATGCGAAGGCCTGTCGAAGCCTGTCGGCTGGCTAAAGATGAGCTTCCTTAGGCCCTCAAAAGCCAAACTGTACATACATTTTATTTATTATCCAAAGAACATGAACAAAAAGCGAAAAAGGAATTGAATGCAATAGAAGATATTCAAAATCATACTGTTCAAGATACAGACTTCGAAATGAACGCTCAACTATACGTTTCCTTGAGAGGAATTTTCGATCAGACTAGTCGCCCTTATACGTTAATATAAATCTATAATAATATATCATTATTTATCGAGTTTTAAGGTGTTATAGAATCATTTAAAATTCGATAGAAAGCCTTACCTTTTTCCTCTAGCTTCTCCTTAGCCGCCGCCGTACGTCTCACCCAAGTGAAAGTCTGTCTGTTTTTACTTTCAATATGTAAATATTCATTTTCTAACAGCTGCTTTCTGGTTTAAACCAATATCCCACAAGAATAAATGAATTTACTTGAAATATAAAACTTTAATTCAATTTTCTTTATAAGTTCATTCAGACTCTCCATTTCGTTAGTACTTATTGAAAAACGACACTTCATTGTCCACGTTACCAGTTTCTTGGTAAGTTTACATGGGTTGTGAGATATTTTAGGAGTGTTAAATGGTTAAGGGATGTGCTTACRGATTGCCATGGAAACGTCTTGATTGACATCAGCTAAAATGATGCCAGATTCCGGTCGTCTTATGTTCAAAACGAGTATATTTGCGTGACAAAATTAAATTATTTCATTAATTCATCRATCAATAGTTAATCTGGAAGATTATCATGACAAGGCCGATGAGAATCTCGGGAAACATCAAATATATACAGCATGGCAGTCTTTATGAAGCTTGAATRAATTCTAAATTGCTCACCAAGAATAGTTTCCATGACCGATGGCCTGAAAACACAAAGCTCTCGACATGCGATTTTTGTGATTATTTATTACATCGCATACCACGTGACAAAAGAACCTGCAGCATTATCGTCGATTCAGTTTGTGTATAGTTGTGACTTACGAACTATTTCATGTAGTCATTTCATCAAATGAATTCATACGTATTTTAACGAAACTCGTTGCACATACCTCTGGTACATGCGTGTGGGCCTATAACGCTTTAACGAGGCATGCCGTGGTACTCAAAAATAATGGAATGAAAAAAAATTGAYGTGCAACAATGTTTTGTTTCCCACCAGGCTCCTCTCTTGAATGTCAAAGACAATATATGAATCCCAGCAGACCCTATATTTGACATTCAAAATCAGTTTTATATTTACAGCAATATCAATTTATAATAAATTACAATTTATGCTCATATCTCCTTCAAATTGATTAATTACAGTAAGGACACTCGAATCATAAACACTTTCAGTTGTTTGCCACTATTTAAAAAATGTATAATGTAAATCATCTATTGAGCCAATTGCTTGAAAATAAAATATATTTTGATAACGTTCGAGTGCTCTCACTTTAATCATTAGCTCTAACAACCACTAAATATATCGTCTGTGTTGTTTGCCACACACATTATTTGTGATCTAAGTCTTAGTCCATTGAGGTTATTGATAATAATTGCCAAGGTATTAACCAGGGCGAAGACAGGGGAGAGGCAATGGGGCCAGGGCCTCCCCTTCGTGGCAACAAAATGGCCACCTTTTACCATGCATACGGTATTTCAAATTTGTTTTTGAATCTAAAAGTAAAACGTAATGGCGGTTCTTTTCTTTTCGTAAAAATAAAGCGTATACACGTTTCGGGGGTGAAACAAGATGGGGGCCGGAATATGGCCGTCCTCTGAAAAAACCTGGGTACGCCCCTGCCAGCCTGCGTGCAGCCGAACGAACTAACTGTTAAGTCCGAGACTATACGAGAGAAAAGTCCGGCTGCACGCAGGCTACTAATTAACAATACTTTAGAATCTTTAGAAATGGTAATACGTCCATGATTACCGTCGCGAAATAAGGATTTTTTGGAGTGTTGTGATTATAGGGACTACGTTGTCGTTAAGCAGTTATGAAAAATGCTTTTAAGAATAGTTTTCTTGTATCAACTGTCATATATTAACGAGTTCTGCAATTCCAAAATATTCAAACGTTGTAGTTTTAAAGCCCTTAAATAATATGCAAGCAATATAAACAAGCAAGCAAGCATGCAAACAAGCAAGTTCAGTGAGCTATGTGAAGAGCAGTTATCCATACATGTTAATGAAGGTGACAACTAATAATTCTAAATGCTGGCCATTTTGAAAATACAAATTTAAAAAGAGCTTTCATGTAAGCCATGAGTAAAATAATGATGCTTTTTAAATACTGTATCTATGGACCAGTTAAATTTTGCATATTTAATTAAGCCTTGATAGACGTCACACTAGTAGAACATTAGAAGTATAAACCTTCATAACTAGAGACGCATCACTCAAATCAATAAATATTTTACCATTCGACTATTTACTTCATGTAGAATCAGTACTGAAAGTATTGTGGAAGGGTTCATGTGCACTTTAAGACCCAACGGGTAAGCTAAATTCTAATCGATGTAGGAGTTAGCCATACCAGAGGCATAGTGTGGGGTTGTCAGTTTAGCTAAAAATCTTAAATTTTCTTATTTTGTTGGGCTACCTGTAGAAATGGGGAAATGGTCTCACCAACTTGCCTGTACTCACACTTCAAGCTTTGGTATTCTCGCTATTCCACTGAGCAATACCCTGACTTACATCAGTCCAGAGGTTATTTCAGGCGAAGAAAAAGAAAACTTAAACACAGCTGATAAAAAAACCTTGGAACATGTACTGACGTTTTGTTAGTCCTTAGTTACTGTGATGAAAGAATTATAATAGTAAAATTACAAACGTTTTTACGCAGTGTTTAAGTCTTCTTCTGATTCACTTGTCGTATTCAAAGTCCCCAAACAAGTACAGGTTATTTCAGGGTTGTACTGCCCTGACTTAGATCAGACAAGAGATTGTTTGTGGTTGGAACTGTTTTACATAATAAGTGCCATCTTTTTTTTTGATTGGTTCAAGTAATGAAAGTTGAATGCAGTGTGACGGACATGTTTAAATACTGTCTAAATGGCCCTGTTTATAGAACCTTTTGTAAAAATATAGCGTGGTCTTATCTGAAAGTATTGTCTACCCCACTACAGTGTCACCCTTCCCCTCTGAAAAGCAAAAAGTAATGGGTGCCATTACAATAGTTTTTTAATTATCCAGCAAGTTCTGGCCAAATTATGTGCGAAAATTTATTATAAAATATTGTTTTCAAATACACTTCACCCTTTTAAAGCATTCTCGTCAATGGTTTGAGATCCTTCATGATTTGTGATCGCTTTTTTAACCCTGTAATACCACGGTTTAATTGAAGTGTTTGCCATTAAATCTTTAAACATGTCCAGGTCTTCCAGACCACTTAGAACACCATACATTGCCTAAAACAATGGAATTATTGAGTATTTTAAAAATTATTGCTGAAATTAAAATAATGAATTAAAAAACCAACTAGACTGCAATACTTTACCAGATAAATCTCATGATAAGTAAAATTTTTTAAGAAATAAAAAACAGAGGGGGGGGGGGTGGTGACTGTTACCTAGAAAGGTATCACATAGCGCCTTTTTAGGTCTTTCCTTCTATTTCCTTATTATTTTTCAACTCCAAAGGGGGTTGACTAGTCACCCGATTCACCCCCTGGATCCACCCTTGCAGGGGGAACGTAGTGTGAAAAAAATCAAAGTAAGCAAGAAAATTTAGAAAGAGACACCAAGAAAAACTCTTTTAATCCTAATTGTTGTTCTTAGCTTTGTACATCACTACCAAAACAGGTAGAGCATGGATTTCACTCATCATAAAGCCCCATGCTTACATTCCTGAGCCCAGAGCGGCAGTTTAACTTTGATGTTAAGATTCAAATTTGATGGTTACGGACCGCAGGCTCAAAGTTCAAAGCTAATTAACCGCCCCAGGCTCAGGAATGTGTGAACGAGACATTGTGAATGTGAAGTAAAACAAGTGTTTCGCAACGAGTGAAATCCACACTCTACCTGTTTTGGTAGTATATAGTTATTTTTGCTTTAGTTTTTTCTTTTTTCTTTTAGTGTGTATTTTTTGTTAGGCTGGTCTTTACATGGGACTCTTGTCCGGTTAACCATGCCCTCAATTAGATATAAACATCTGGTTGTAAAGTTATTRAATAAATAAATAAATAAATAAAACCTACCAAGTCAGCTAAGTTAGGCGATGAGCCACCCAGGAATTTCCTTTTTCCAACAGCCTTCATCCATTTTTCAGCTTCTTCATAAAGAGACTGCCTTACATCATCCTTTAGTCTGTACCTAGAGCATAACAATAAGAATTTATCACAGATATGATCACAAGAAGATCAATCAAACTGGCACATGGTAAACTCATGGATGCCCTTCACTGAATCCTACTTGCACTTTTGTGAGATTGGGTTCCCTGTGCTCCTTTTACGTCCCACCGACAAGAGGGTTGCACTATACATGAATTATCTTGACCTTCCCATTGACTGTCGTCTGAAATACATATATTCACTCAGAAACTATCTGCTTACATTGTAAAATAAGCGGATATTGTATAAAAAGTTGTTTAGAAAATAATGGTATTCAACTTCTACTTGAAATTCTCATAATTTTGAATAAAATAGAAGCATAAACAAGCCAATATGAGTTGGATTTCGATTTTTCATTTTTYGACTGAAATTATTTAAAATATGTAAATAATTAATGACTTTAGCCTGCGTAGCAGCCCAAATGGTGGAGGAGGGGGAATCTTTAAATTTATTTGCATATGCAATTTTCTTTCTGGTTTTAGGATTAGAGCATAGAGTAACTGAATGGCTTTATATTTTGTTATTTTCTTTTGATCTAGTTAGTATCCAAAACAAAAACACCAAAACAAAAAAAGAAATCTATATATTAAATTTCTCAACTTTAGTTGTGGCGGCTATGTTGAGAGGCACTTAGTGGAGGACATAACTGTGAGCTGAAAAAGGAGTCGTCTTTCTAGATTTTTAGTTTTGAGTAGTACCTAAGGTAAAAAATAATATTAAAACATCCAAGTCTTCACTTATTTTATGCTCAGATCTCAAAATGCAAGGTAATGATTAGATATGCAAGTAACAGTCATTAATTATTTGCATATGTAATCAAATCTTATGAATTAAATGTTTAAAGTGCCTATCACCCTTCTGACAATATTCTCTCCTGTAACTTCTGATCTAAGGTTTGGTTTCTTCATTTTATTCCTCCACAAAAATGAACTTCAATGTGTAGTTCCAGAAATCATCCATACACAACCCACAGAGGAATTTGGAATTTCTGAAGAGCAGGGGGGTCAGAGAAGGAACAGGGGGTAGGGGAGTGTCTTAAAAAAATTCTGCCATGGGGGGGGGGGGGTATGGATAATTTTTGGAACTACACAATCTACATTCCATGGAATCTATTATATGGAATAATGACCACAGGCTTGCTATCTACTGCCAGTTATTTAACCCCTTCCTTCACAAGATTCCTAGCAAGGTACTCAATCCAAAGCTCTACTAGCAACCAAATCAGATTTTTCCTATGATAACCTCAAAGGGAAATGAGCTGGATTCTAAGGCCAGTGGCATATTATTATTTTAAACACTGGCTCATTTTCAAATACCAATTTTTTTGGATTGTAACCACCAACGACCAGGGAAAATAGAGATTATGAAATAATATGAAAAACATTAATATAAACATCCAGGGTAGCTCACATGAAGATTTGTTATAAGCATCCATGGGAGGGAAAATGTTAAATATGCAATCTCTAAAACMAGATCTTTGAATATTAATTTTCATTGTGTTGTTCCGGAAATTATTCATGGTACCCCACCCACAGAGGAATTTGAAATTTCCAAGGGGAGGGGGGACCAGAGAAAAATTTCCAGAGATAGGGAGGGTCTTAGAAAAAAAAACCTCCATGGGGGAGGTATGAATATTTTCTGGAACTACACATTTTACATCCCAACTGGATATATGGCTTACTATATAAGACTAGAGTTAAAGAAAATCTATCAGTTTTCTCTGTAATCACAGAGTGGGACAATTACGAACGGAACCCTCAGATCCATGCTAGGGTGAAAGCCCAAGATTGAATTGGAGTTTAGAAGTTTGTTTTTGCGGAGGGAGGAAAACCGGAGAACCTGGAAAACCCTCGAAGCACAGGAGAGAACCAACAAACAACTCTACTCACATGACACCGAGCTCAGCGGGACTCAAACCCGGGTCACATTGGTGAGAGGCAAGCAATCTCACTGCTAGGCCACCCGTGCTTTCCATCGTAAAATTGTAAAACCATTTGGTTCACCTGGAATTTACAGACTTACTTTTGTTTCAGATGCTTCCCCAAGACATACATGACGACTGAACCACAGTATCTTACGGCATATCTCTCTACAGTGCTAAAGTTACCAACAGTAGAGAAGTATTCAAATGCTTGATTAGCTTCAGCAGCTGTTCGATAAATATTAGGTGACAGTGTATGTACAAATGTGTTATCAACCCACTTCCTCCATTGACGTTCTTCCCTGCAAATCACGATGAAACAAACACACTTAAGTAAGTAATAGGATACATATATACAAGATATAAATAAAGAAAAATATAAATTTTTACACCAGAGAGTAGCGGAACACAAGGCTTCTACGTCATCTAAACACACCYGAGAGCATGGTCCCTTGAGAGACAGTGCAAAGACAGATTTGACTGTCTCATTTGATTATTTTCTTCAAATATTGAATGAAAAAAATTGTAAATATATTTCCTTTCAGTATTTATGATGTAATAACTAGTTTTGGGCTTCTTAATTTATAAAGGTTTTCTTCTAATTTATTCCTGATATTAATATATTTTCTCATATTTGTTTTGTTAAGATAGATAGATAGACAGACAGACAGAAGCCTTTATTTAATGAGGGTTGCACGAAATAGCTCAAAGCTAATAAACTTGTGGCTCTCATCGTCAAAAACAGCGAAAGTTGAGTATCGCAGTGTACTCAGATTGAATATTAAAAGGGTTTAAGACTTAAGATTTGTTTTTTGTATACAAATACACACTCTCACTGACGGTACAATGAACTCAAAGTTTCTTCATAGTGTACCCAGCTCCACCTTGAGCAGTATAATACTTGTTTATTAGTGCAGTTTTCGTACGACTGCAAAAAATTCATGGCACGAACACGGCCATGACACGCCAAAGGATATGCCAGACCAATCACATTGCACGAGAATTTACTCTCCATCCAATCAAATACCTGGAACACGGCATAAACACAGTGCGGACACGGTCACGCCAAGGTCACGGTAATGCCAGACCAATCACTTTGTGCGTGAAAAAAATCAGCCAATAAAATTCTAGAAAGCATCACAGTCACGGCACCTCACGCTTATGACACTGAGCTTTTCACAGTCATGCGAAAACTGCACTATACAGTCAGTATTTGTAAACAAAACACTCACATCAGTCTCTAACCCCTGAATACTTACATCAGCTCCTTTTGTTTGTTCTTATCTACTCCAGTCACATGCATTACAGCATGTCTGTTAGCATACTCAATAACCTCCTTGCCATCATCATTAGTGGACTTCATTTCTGGGTAGTAGGTAAGAAGAGTCTCTAGACTTTGTTCTCCCAGTAGATATGACCTTAGAACACTGGTAATAACTGATGAATCATTGATCTGACAACAAAAGTACATCATGTTAAATAAGTAATTTAGAACTAAAATTTACAGTGCGACTACTCCAACCAAAGCCACCTTGACAAATTTTCTTMAAATTATCCAATAGTGTTAGAGTATTTAGACAATAGATTAGCGCCAAATTTTGAATTTAAATATTCTTTCGTTGTTCCGGTTTGTAAAACTAAATGATGAAGAAGAGCTTGTGATATATTTTCTTGGCAAATTAGTGATTTGTGTCACCAAAGATATAGAAAAATAGAAATGTACGACTTCAAATACGACAGGAAAGCAAATTAGAAACCATATGAAACACAGCCTTTATGATTACAGACAGGGACTGCTGTCTGACAGCTACTATGTCAAGCCTGCTGTCCTCAAAAAGATCGACCCACAGCAGTTTGGAATGGTATGTAAATCAAGCACCATGGATGTGTAAATCAGCGTGATTTACTGCTGGGGGAAGTCCATGGATGGAAATGGATCTACTGCTATCTTATTCCAAGGTTCTAGAAGCAGTAGATATGACTCCTTTGTGTGATAGGACTATTTTATTAAACAAAGAAAGACTTAGAAATATAGATAAGTTATAGTACTATAAGTTCTCTAGCACTATAACTAATCTATATTTCTATATCTTCATGCATTTCATAAGTGCTACGCGGTCCACACATTCTCAAAGAAAGACTTATTTAATTGGATCTGTTATCTCTTGACTATAACCGCAAAGTCAAAGACTTAGTTTTTCTTTATATGGCCTTTCTTGTATTTTTTTTTTTAGTATGTTTGTTAATTATTCTGTTCGTTGAGAAATTTGAAGGCCAATAAAGCTGTTAAAAGAAAAGAAAGAAGAAAAGAAGAAAAAAAGAGAGGAGACAGGCATCTACCTACCTACCTACCTCGCTTCCTCTTTAGCAAAATACCAGTATGTAATAGGATAATAGTGAAGTGAACTAACCTGCACACCATTAACTACTGTGATTGGTACCTTCTTGTAATGAGAGAACTTGATTTCTTTTCTAGTTAAAGGATTGACTTCAACAATAGAATATTCAAGGCCATAATACTCCAAGAAAGCGCGAACTTTACAGCAGAATGGACATGTTTGATATTGATATAATGTGATAGAGGGAACCTTGGATCTACTGGGCAGTTGTTGTTTATCGTCTTCTACGTTATTTGTAAACTCACTGGCATGTTGTTCTTTGAAGGCAAACAAGGTTCCAACACCAACACCTCCAAAAATACCAACAATACCAAGTAATCGACTACTATTGACTTTCGTTTTGGCATAACCATGGAATTGTCTCGAAGCTGTTTTAATAACTGCATGAGAATTAACTTGTCTCAGGAATAAAATCCCTCGTAAAGAAGACGAAGACAGACGAAACACACTTCGACTGGCAGCCATCTTGGATTGTTATGCAATACTGGGACCCAGGAACGTCTGCGCTAGACCACAAATTTAATTTAAAAATATTTCTTCATAGACATTTTACTTTGTACTCGGCAGCGTATCACACACATATATTGCTAAAATATATTTCTAAGAAACATTCTCAATAGTCATAAAATTTGTCTCGATTTTGTAGCAAGTGCAAAAAATAGAAATCTCGTGTGTGGGTACCCTGTGTGGTTTYCCAAGGTGCTTCGTGTTGAGTCAACCACGACTAGATGTGTGTAGTACATGAAATATCTTCAAGTGATTTCATCATTATCCTCTAGGTTAAGATCAGCCTTCCTTATAGAAAGACTGCCAGTTAGATTGATTCATTCTTGTTCCATGGATGGTAAAGAAAACGTATCTGAAGCCTCGTCTAACGGCTCGTGTTTGAATAATGAACAATGTGCTGAGGAAAACGTACCAAAGACTGCCGCACAGCTCAAGAAAGAAGCCAAACGACAAGCTAAATTAGAGAAATTTGCTAAAAAACAAAGTCAGTTGGCGTCTAATAAAGATAGTGCTTCAAACGAGGTATGAACTTGATATTTTTTCCCCATGAATTTCGACGGTACGCAGCCCTGGTCACGTGCGTTGCAGCTTATATCTTTATAAATTATTCTATACACGTTTTGTTTATTTGTACTATTCCCCTATTCTTGCTGTAATAATACTACTTGAATATTAACCATGTGTAATATTAACCACACAGCTGTTTACTCCTTATCACAGGAAAAAAATTATAAAAAACATAATGGTTTTTAGAATGGTAATTATAGTAATTTYCATTCAAAAAACATTGAATGGAAAATTTTACAAAACTTACAAATTTCTCGCGCGCTGATTGGTTATTTTTTATCATCAATAAGAGGATAGACAGATAAAGCTGACATCAACGAGCGCGCACTCTTTCCGTTGGTTGTTTTGATCACTAAAAATGAGAAGTTTTTATTATTTTTGATATTGTAAGAAACAAATAGCCTCAGTTTTTTCTGTGTCTGTCCTCTTATTGACGATAAATTTTGTCATCACATTGTCAAAGTAGTATGCRGATCCACTCGGCTATGCCTCATGGATCCACGCTACTTTGGCAATGTGATGACACAATTTATCGTCAATAAGAGGACAGACACAGAAAAAAATGAGGTCTATTTGTTAAACAGAACACTTCCCATTTATAGTTTTTATAATAAAAAACATTAATCATATTTCTGAGGTCATRAAACCATATATGTTTTTTAAATTCTAAATGCCGTTGTTATTAACTTGAAGATCACTAATGTTTTATGCACAATTTCCATGAATGTTATTGAATAAGCCTGAAGCGAGATGACGTTTTACCCCCGACTCTATACCATAATAGTTTTTAAAATTCTTTCATATTAAAATTTTTGATTCCTTAGAGAATACAGGAACAATAGTCATAATTAAAGAACAAAAGCAATGTGAAAAGGATTATGGTCTAGAGATGGGGGTAAAACGTCATCTCACTTCAGGCTTATTAACATTCGTGTCTCAATAAAACACATTAATGTATTTTGACCACAATGGGAATATGCTAAAAAACCATTATGTTTTTCAGAGATTTTTTCCTGTGTTAATTGTTGAAGGAGGAGAATAAATCCTGGGAATAAGTTGTGGCAAGATTTTAGATATCTTTTGTGTGATTGGACCAGAAAATACAGTACATCACAACTTAAAAGCCCTAAGTTCTGCTATGAGCAGACACTCCAACCTCGACTTCGAACTATTATTTGTGCTCCCTAAACGGAACTGTATTAATTTTTTGTAATTTCATCACCAAAATAAAATTTGGGATAATCTTTAGTATGATTTCACTGCCGTCTATTATAATGCATTGTTTAATCTTTAATTATTTTATTAGAAAAAAGAAAAGAAAAAGAAAGAGTCATCTAAAAAAGTGTTTTTTTATGACAAGCCTACGTTACCAGGAGAGAAAAAAGGTATTTACACTTGTCTATTGTTAAACCATGAAAGATCTCTTAGTCTTGATAAAGCTTTTAGTATGAGCAAAGCAGTGCATCGTTACAAGTGAATCATACATTCTGAACAGCTGAGTTACTAGTGGGCCATTGCTCATGGTACATAGGGCGTCAATGTATTGTACCATATACACGTTTCATCTTTAGTTTCCTGCCACATGCACAGGTCCAGTAATGGGGAGGGTGGAGATAGTGATGGTAGAGCTAGAGAAGAATGACAATTATTTAGAGTTATTGTCAGAGAAAACCGGCTGGGGTGTTGACCATTTTCCCCCAAATTTTAAACGATAAAAGAGTATCTGATTACCAGTAGATGATGAACCATGGTAATTTAATAGTTATTTGAGCTTTTTTTCTTCAGAGATAGACACCCCCTAGGTTTTTGATCATGATTGGCCTTTGCGATGGCAAAATCTAAGGCCAAACTTCATCACCTCAAAAGTCAATATTGCTTTTTATGCAAGTTTTAACTTACTATTTTTGAAATATATCCTATAAACGAGAAGTTTATATTGGAAAGTAATTTCTTTTGGAAAATATTTCACAGTCATTCAAAATAGTGGGTTCAAAAACCCTTTTTTACTGAATTTCTTTTGGGATATCGGAGTAGTTGTCCGGGGGGGGGGCTACTCCCCCATATTCGCTATACGGGTATGTGTTGCCAAACAGGGTATGGTTTTCAGCRATTCTACTCTGGAACAGGGTATATAAAATCACGCTCGCTCTGGAACAGGGTATATGAAATCATGCTCTCTCCTCTCTGGAACAGGGTTTTCAGCGATCTTGCTCTGGAACAGGGTATGAATTTCAGCGATTTTACTCTGGAACAGGGTCAGGGTTCAGAGGGCTCAGCAGCACATCCCTAACCTAAACAGGCAAGTGTACCCCCCCGGGAGTAGTTGATTGGAGATATGAAATTTTAAATTTTGACGCATGACACGAATTAACAGTAAACGTTGGGTGGTTTTCATGCTAGTCCCCTTTAATAGACCATGTTTGAGGTGTAGGTTGTAGCATATTGACCCACGTGTAGCTCATTTAAATRTTCATATCAAGTTGTGTGATATACTTGATACTGTTTTCCAGATGTAAGTGGTGCTATGCCTGACAGCTACAGCCCAACATATGTAGAAGCAGCATGGTATTCATGGTGGGAAAAACAAGGGTTTTTCAAGCCAGAGTATAGTGTGAGTACAAGAGATCATGGTAGAAAAATACATTAACAATATTTACATGTAATCTAGCCACCAACAAATAGAAGAACAAAAACAAATAAGAAAAACTGTACATGCTGTAACATTGAAAATAATAATATACTCAAAAATTGTGAATTCAGAAAGAAATATATAAATCATATCTGAAATCTAGTCTTGAAAAGAAGGGTTTTGACAATACAAATACAATATGTTGAATTATAATTTAAAGTTGTAATGACAAAAAGTATTAATTGCATTTTCAAAAGATTGGTAGTTATCACTAAGGTTTAGTATATAAAATCAAGGTAAATCATAGGTTAGATAAGATTAGAAATTGAAAGCCAACAAAAAATCTTAAAATTATAGATTCTTAGGTGTAGTGCTTAGATGAATATGTGTTTGACACTGCTTCTAACATACACCCTTTTTTATTTCTTACGAGAGATATATAGATTTTTGCCATAATTTGGAAATTTCTCACGCTCTGATTGGCTTAGAAGCATTGTTGATTAGAGGCTAGACCTGCTTGTGCTTACGACATCTGTCATGCACACTGAGTGAGCGGATGAAACAGCTTTTTCAAACTATTTACTTGTCTTTTTGCTCAATTTTTTCGACTTTGTTATGGTAAAAAAACAAATCAAAGTCAGTTTTCTATGGGTCCTTACTGTAATTGAACATGAAATGACGTCAGAGGTGATCCAAACTTTGCAGTGGAAACACTCGCTGCACTCATGGTTCCACATTTCATGTTCTATTACATGTACAGTACAGACCCATTGTATATACAGTACCGCCTGAAATCATTGAGGCATAAGACGCGTCCGTCGCGCGTTCAGTGCACGCGGTAAAAACGCAAATAAGCCGCGTCCTGACCTAGAATTGACCGCGATTTAACCGCGGTTGCCGAAAAAACGCGTCCCATACAGTATCATACTGTACAAAGCGCTGTTTGGTTATACAGTATTCCTACTGGTTTGGCATTCAACGAAATATTTTTTATGGCCCGAGTTTGAGTTTTTTAAAAGTTCCATTTAGGAATCGAGTTCAAGTTTGTACCAACCAGTACAGGAGTCGATTTTTTTTGTGTGTAGAATTTC